GACTGTTGTAATCACCACATGCTGGGATGCTAGCGCGGTTGGCTTCGGAGCCGTTTGCATCGTGTTGCGTTATGATCTGTTCTTTCTTCCCTGCGAAATTCAAACAGCGTCTTTGAGGCGCAATGATTCTACGTTTTTGTTGAAATCTGATAGCAAACTCAGAGTGAAGATGTCCGCTTTTCCGGAGCCTGTGCGCGTTTTACTAAATACTATTTAATTTATATTTTATGAGTATTGACAGTGTAAATATAAATTTAATTTTTTTTAGTCTATTTCTTTACTTTTTTTAGCTTATTTTTATATTTTCTTAATCTGTTATATAGTTTATAGTTTTTTTAAATTTATACTATTTTAATTTTTAATTTTTTTTCTTTTTTGAATTTTAAAGAGTAGTTTAAATAATTTATTATTTATATTTTTTTATATTTTTTTAATAATATGAGTTTTTTAAAATTATATTAAAGTTGTTTTTATATTTACTAAGTAATTTTTTTAAAACTAATAATCTAAAGTTATTTATAAATATATTGAATTTTAAATAATAAAAAAATTATATCTGATTAATATATTTAAAATCAAATAAATATAAAATTTTTATACTACTGATATTTTTTTTATTTAATAAAATCTTAATAAAAATTATATTTTAATTTATAAAAATCTTATTATTATATTATAAGTTAAGAGTCTTATAAATATATATAAATTTTTTATATTTATTACAAAGTAAGTTTGTTGAAGTTAAAATTTTTTTTATTATAATATATAGTATAAATAATTATAATAGTAAAAGATTTTATTAAATTTTAATTTAATAAAAAATAATAATTATTTTTAAAATAAATAAAGAATATATTCAGATATAAAAGAATTAATATTAATAATAGTAAAGATAAATATTTTTAATTATAAAATATTACTTTATATAGAGTTGAAAACTATAAAATAGTTTTATTTATTATTTTAATAAATTTTAATTCATTGTTAAATAGATTATTAACTTTATAAATATATATATATATATTAAAAAACTAAATATTTTAATATTTAAAAATTATAAATAATATATAAAATATAAAAATAAACTATAAGAAGAATTTAATTTTTATATATAATTTTAATAAATTATATATTTATATATAAAAAATAACTATTTGAAATAAAAAATATTTTTTATAATTAATTTTAATTTTAATATAATAATTAAATATATATTTAAATTAGTTAAAATTATAATTATTATTACTGTAGTTTTTTTATAAAAACTATAAAATATATTAAAATTTTTTTATTTATATTTTTTAATTATATATTCAATATTTTAATTTTATAATAAATTATAATAGATAATAAATATATATTAATTACTTATATTTTAATAAATAATAAAATAAAATTATATTTATTAATTTATACAGCAATAATATTTTTATTTTGAATTGTTTAATTGATATAATTTATTAGATAGTCTAATTAATATTAATTAGAAAGGTTTTTTATTAAAGTTTTTTCATCAAAGTTGTAAATACTCAATAATTTAATGTTATATTTTTCAATTTTTTTTATTTAATTATATAATCAAATATTAAAATTATTAATAAAAAATTATAAATATAATTGAAAAGTAAAATTAATAAAATCATCAAATTATAAGTTTATATTAATATTTTAAATTTTCAGAATGATCTTAATTTTGTATTTTTGATCAGTTATATAAATAAAAAGAAATTTAATTTGATTTTTATAATATTTGATAAAGCAGCTTATTCACTTCTCTTCTAAAAATTTTTAATGATTTTATTTATTAGATTTTATATAATCTGAGATATAAAAGCAAAGCTGTAAATTGTAAGTTTCTTTATATAAAGTAGAAGTTACTTTTTTTGCATATTTGTGATCTTTATTTTATATAGAGAAATAACTTCATTATGTAAGAGTTGAATATCTTTATATTATGTTAGGGAGTGAATGCAAGCTGCATAAGAAAGGATTCTCTACATTGCTAACTGCTATAATAATGAAATACTAAGCTTGGTGACAGAAAATGAGGTGCCGAGGTCTGCCCGGATCATAACCAATCCACAGGGTTAAGTGCAAGTTTAATTAAATCCTTGTTTGGCAGGGAAGACCATGTGAAAAGTTGAAGAATTTGACTGTGAAGAGTGGAAAAAATTGAAGTGTTTGAAGTGTTGTGATGGTCCCATTATTCTGATCCAGCATTCGATCCGGCATTCCGATCCGGCATTCGGATACGGCATTCGGATACGGCATTCGGATACGGCTTTCTTGAAAGGTTGGTGTGGCCCGCTGTGCCTCCATGGATGATTAACATCTCCTTTGTGTCATAATCTGGATGCAATACGAATACACTCCTTCCATGGAATTATGTATTGGGATCTGATGAGGGGCCAATCGGCTTGCAAGCTGAACTGGTGATCCTGGGCTGCTCCAACAGAGCCTATCAATCACTGACTCAACCGTTGTAACGGATAGTCAGAATGTAGTAGGCGTCATAAGTGAGGCATACAGCCGTGGTGGTCCGCAGAGATCCGAGGCATACAGCATACGAGCAATCCGAGGCATATGAGTGATATGATGCTCGTGACAATCATTAAAACGGAGCATTCAAGAGTGAGAGCAAAAATAATGTCATGACATATCTATGGATGAAAACAGAGCAGCACAGGACAGCCGACAGAGGTGTCTCCGGGGTGGCGCCGAAAGTTTGGTGTCAGATTGGGATTTGCGACAGGAAGTGACTCTCAGAACCATTGCAGAAGTTGGTGGACCACTCTAATTATTAATTAAAGACTAAGTAACCGGCCGTTCTAGCATGAAGAAATTAACCTTGGAACCTCTTATTCTCATTACCCAAGCTTGCATAGAGACTAGCGGCTTGCTGTGCATTTCATTGATAACTACATATGTCACATAGTTAATCTCCTGTCATACATTTCTAATCATCTCACTCATTACCCCTTTTGTCCATTTGCTCCTCTGTAACATGAAATGTCACTAAACAAGAAGCAGGAGACACATAAGTAGACCATTCATGGGGATGAAATATCTAGGGGGACATTGTGCTGCGTATGCAAGACTGATAGTTATCCATCTATTTTCTCTTAGAGCAACTATTGATCACCCTCTGTGAACAGAAGTATGACCATGAAAGATGTCCTGTATCTCTGTACACAGTAATGAACTCACCTTGCTTTAGCAACCTCAATTACCTGAACTTCTCAAAAAACACCCAAATCTAGCATGTAACATATGATGGTCTGATACAGCTGTAACCTTTTATATAGCCAAGCCCCTTCTATCCGGAGTCAGAATAACTACTTCCGTTTTGGTACAGCCTTCATTCATTTGAAAGTTCTTTTTCTTACATAATTATATTCACTTAACAAGCCGTTCATTACAACTCATTTTGTGTTAGATTAGTTAGATACAGAAATACATTCATTCATTAGCTCTGTTTATTCAATTCTCTTCATGGTAGCATGTCATTGGTGCTGCTCTAAGGCTTAATAACTCTTATTCAGCCAGAACTGTGGATCGAGTGAAGCAACAGCAAAGTGTAGGCTTAGTGAAGCTGTGGGACGTCTGAAGTGCATTGTATTGGTAGCCTATCTCAGGGATGCTATATACTGTGCAGTGCGCTAGTCCATAATAGGAAGCCTAGGCTCCAACTCCTCCCCTTGGACTAGCTACTGTACAGACTAGCTACTTGTCATGGCTCAACTAGAGTCAGAATGATAACAAGACAACAGCTTCAATTCATCTATCTAACTAGGCAGCTGCGACGAGAATACTAAACTGAGGATTAGAATGAAGAATGAACGAGCAGCCGAATATACAGAGGTGGTTGGGGATCGGATCGGATCAACATGAGCAACCGAATATGGTTGAGGTCGGAATGGATCAACCTTTAGAGCGTAGCGGGGCGGATAAACCTTAATCCATATACTATCAGCTGCGCCGTAACACTACTGTCCTGCTCAAATCAATCATATCCATCTTCTTTGTCAATTTATCTTGTCTTCCACTTGCTGTATCCATCAAATCATTTTCTTATTTCACCCATAACCTGGCTGGCTATTCAAAAGTTCTTCAATATTTGAAGAAATTGTTGCAAAGGATACTTGACTTGATTGACTTGCAAGTAGATTCTTTATATTTCTATCTTTAATTTTATCTCTATTCTTAGTTTTATTTCTATCTCTATTTTTCAATATCTCAATGTGCTTCTTATTATGTTTCTGCCATTCAGTGCTTGTGAGATTTGAGTTTTTGAACCAGCAGTGTTTGATAATATACTCTGTATTCTTACAGTAGTGGCATTGACATTCATCAAATCATTCAATGATGTTAGGCTCAGCGCTGGGGCTAGATTTATCTCCATCACGTGACCACACCTCACATGTAGCCTAGTGGATTGGTCATGATCTGGTCACTTGATCACATGAGCTGTTTATCATCTGAGCAGACCCTGACATTTTTTTTTCCTTATCAATCTTAGAATTTTATTACATAGCAGTTAGCAATGCAGAGAGTTTCCTTCTTATGCAGCTCACATTCACTTTCTAACATAATTCTAAGGTTTTCTTTCTACTTTTTCACTCAGGTTTCAGCAGAAAACTTGAGTATCTCAGTTGAATTAGAATCTATTAGTTAAGAGCCTGACAATATATTAGGTTAACTGTTAAAGACAATAGTGCTGTCAAAGACAACAGCTCAATCTGACATCAGATAATCACCGCAGACTCTTAACCCCTTGGAAGAGGTTAAAAGAACTGATGATACATTCTAACAAGATCAACTGACCAATGACACATCTTAATTGAGGAATTCAGAGAGGCAATCTATTCAGACAGTAATTGTATTAATAATGAGTTAGTGATAATCTTTGATGACATCTTTGATGATGAGAAAACATTGAGAGATATAATTACATATCTGAGAATAGAATAGAATAATATTATTAATCAGACCACTGTTAATCAAAGTCAGATTGATGAGTTAATTGCTGAATATGATGAACTTAGTTATACTCTAATTCACATGACAGTCAGCAATCAAATAGTAAGTCAAGATGTTACTTTCTTTAAGACTGCCAGGAGATCTGTCAAGATTGATGACTCAAAACATCTTACTAACAGCAAGAAGTTGAAATTTGAACATTAACTCTTCTGAATGAAGAACAAGCTCTGAGAGAATGTTAATTATTACTCTACTGAATGCATGAGAATTGTGTACATCAAAAACTGAATTGACAAGGACATAGCACATCACATTGCATCTCATATAGAAGAGGATCACTCCAAGCAATATCAAACTGCGGAAGAGATATTTGAGCACCTCAAGTCAATATATAAAAATGCTAACAAGTTGCAAAATATCAAAAGTGATTATCACAAGTTGATTATACACAATGAGGATAATTATCATGAATTTGTTATAAAATTCTTACACCTGATGAGTGAAATCAAGATTGTCAAAGAGAACTACAAGATAGACTTCAATAACAAGCTGTACTTTGATCTTTAGAGCATAATAGCAGTAGTCAATATAATCACAAATATATATGCTGAGTTTCAGAAGATCTGTACTCAGGCAGCTCATACTCTTTAGACAATCAATGTTACTCAGAAGTCAAAGAGCTTGTGAGAAAATGAATTTAATATCTTCAAGCAAAATATCTTGCAGATCTTCAATAGTCAAACTCTCTCTGACACCTCTGCTATAAAATTCTCTATCATGAAGAAAACTGTGAGCATTCATTCAGATATTCAGTGCTACTACTACAAGAAGAAAGATCATATTGCAAGGAATTGCTTCATGAAACAGAAGTTTCAACAGATGATCACTGAGCTTATAGAGAATGACACTCCTAAGTCTTCAGTGAATTTGACAAAAGAATAAGTCTGAGAGAAGACTTCACCTCAGGTAGTTCAATAGTCTGTGAAAAGTTTGATATGAAGAACTTGATTGAAGAAAAAAGTTTTAATGTATCAATCAAGTTAGTTTATAATGAAATTGCTATTTCTACAAATTCTCCTGCTGATACTGAAGTGAATAATGTAAATTTTATTGATATCTGATATGTTATAGAATTAACAAGATTCTTCAATAGAAAGTTTTAAGAACTCCTATTTAAATGCTGCATAAAGGGATACAATGATGTCCATGATAAGGTGATAGACTACACATTGACTCTAAACCTCTGAGTAAATGATCAGAGATTTCAGAATGTTCTTCTGCTGATAATGGACCTAGGTCAGCACTTTGTCATCCTGGGATAGAAGTGATTGATGGCATAGAATATATGGCTTGATGTTAAAAATCAATACCTGGTTTAGCCAAGTGAATAGTCTATCCCTGAACAAATAGCAGAGCTAATATTGAAGATGATATTTTGATCAATACTGAAGCATTCAGACTCTAAGTCTGAGTATCAGACAGATATGAAATGAAGAGAGATCAAACTGAAGAGAGAGATCAGATAGGAGCAACAGACTCAACTCTGTGAATTGAAAAAGACCAGCTCAGTCATAACACTCAAGATAAGGCATAAACTGATTTGAAAGAAGACAGCATTATAGATGATGGATATAAACTTTATTGAGCTGCTTCCTTCTATGATTATATAAAGAATAAGCATTTAATAATTTTCATAATCAGTCTATGAAATTGATAGACAATTTGAGAAGAAGTGAGGTTCAGTGAGAGCTGAGAATGAGTCTGATGAGAAGCTGATTAGTAACTTATCAGAATGATTAAAAGGCTAAAAGAACTGTTTCTCAAAGAAAGTATCAGATGAATTACCTTTTTTATAAAAGAATATTAATTTTAAAATAGAGCTTCAGTCTATAAGGGGTTGAACCCCTAGATTTACTCTGGCTGGCTGACTCAGCCTAGCCATCATTTGCATGTGCGCATGTGATTATACTACGTAAGCTTGCTTAAGCTTGAGTTCTCATCTCATTCTTTTCTTCCCTTTCTCAAGCAATTTGTCCTTGTTATATAGGAGGACTAGCCTCTAGTTCTTAGAGCTTAATCCTTTACATTATGAATTGCTTCACTCCTTTCATTGATAGATCACTGGGAGTCTTAATCCTGTATCATGAAGCTCAGCAAATGTGCTGATATATGATAGACTATTGAGAGCTTTAAATCCTGCATCACAAAGTTCAGTGATAGCACTGGTATATGAATAGACTGGGTTAGCAATCATGCTAACAAATAAATAAGTAACATTGAAAACATCTAGCTGAATGAGATAAAGTGACAGACTTGTACAACAAATACACAAATAGATCAACATGAAGCAATGAGCAGGGACACCCTCAGCAGCTTTGAACAACAATGAATGGCCTTTCTCTAACAGCAGGAACAGGTTCAGTGTAAGAACAGAGATTTAATAGCAGCTCAGCAAGCTGAAATAGCTAATCTATAACAAGTTTTGAATACTCTGACATCAACTCTCTCTCAATCAAACCTGCAACCACTCATTGCAGTTAGAAGATCAAAGATCAAGCTACTAGACTGCAAGAAGTATGATGATTTTAATCTGAAGCACTACCCTCAGTGAGAGCTAAAGCTTCAATCAAAACTTAAAGTCAATGAGAAAGCTTTAGATAATAATAAGGAATGTGCTTGGTATGTGTACTCAAGACTGAAAGAAATGGCAGCAGCTTGAGTTTACCTCTGAGTTGAGAATAATAAAGACAAGATCAACTTCATGATAGAGAGCTTACTGAAGCAGACACACATGCTCTTTAGTGATTCTGCACAATAGGAAAAGGCTATGCAAAAGCTCAACAATTTATGATAGAGTAGAAGAGCTTTCTTTGACTTTCTGTCTGAATTTAATCAACTACTGCTGGAAGCTGGTGGTCATAGATGAGATGATCACATTAAAAAGAGGTATTTGAAATCTGCTCTAAGCATGGAGCTGAGGGAAGGTATAGTGAATGTAAGAGAACTGTCTTTCTATAAGAATTACTGCAAGGAGCTTAGATTAGTTGATCATCAACTCTCTGAGCTTAAGACTTTAAGGCAGTAGTCTAAATGTCATAAGAGCAGATCTTTTTTGGATCATATGACATCTAATTCACACTATCTACTTTGTCATGCTGTTTTTGACTGATGAAACTGGTCTCAAGCTTCTGCTGATGATCTGATAGACCTCTCTCCTGATGCTGTGACCTCAAGTGCTTATCACACCAAATTGATAGATCAGACAGAGGTTAATTAATGAAGAGAGCAAGGCCTGTGCCTGAGATGTGAAGCTAGAGGTTATATGATTAAGAGCTGCCCATTCAAACCTCTCAGACATCCTGCCACCCTCATGATAGCTAAGGTGATTCCTGAGCCAGTACTGGATGACAATAATGTGAATATGAGTGAGGATTTGAGAAAAGAGTAGCTCCAACTAAAAGACACTGAAAGGAGCAAAATAAGGAGCTTATGAAGAAGCAATGGAGAAGATTTAAATCTAAGATGATATTCAAACCCTTCACTGTTGATGCTCTAGTAGATAATGCCTTTTCAACTAAAGCAATGATAGACAGTGAATGTAATGTCTATGATCTTATTTCTCAATTCTATATTAATAAGCATAAGCTTCTGTGCATTAAAATTCCCTCTGTTAAAATGACCAGCTTTGAAGACTCCATGGGACTCTCTATGAGCATAGTGACTGGCATTCAAATTGATACAGACAGTCATATAACTGAACAGGTCTTTCTCTATGTGGTGAATGAATTATATGATCATAATATGTATCTAAATAACCCCTGGCTGGCCTAGCAAAAGGTGACTGTGATCCCTCATCAAAGAATTGTGAGATTTGAAAAGAGTAGCATAGAGGTAGAGTTTAGTTCAAATGCAAAAGCTGATGTGATTCCCATCTCTGTCATAAGCTTCTCTAGGCTTGCAAGCACTTGAGAGAAGTGAAATATCAAGATCTTCACTATCAGTTTGGCTGACATTCAAAAGACTCTAGAAGTAAAATCAAAGATTGACCCTAGAGAAAAGCTGCTTGAACACTATCATGAGTTTTTAGATGTATTTGATAAAAAAGCCGCTGACACTCTACCCCCACTTTGTGGCTCAGGTAGAGATCATGAGATTGAACTGATTAAAAAGACTGATGATAGCACAGAATAACTCTTTTAGAGCTTATTATATAATATGTCTCAAGAGGAACTACTGACTTTGTAAAAGACTCTTACAGATTATCTAGATAAGAGTTTTATTAAAGTGAGCAACTTCCCTGCAGCCGCTCTCATACTATTTGTGAAGAAGCCTGGGGGTGAGCTAAGATTCTGTGTGAACTATTGAGCTCTTAACAAAATCATCTGAAAGGATTGATATCCTCTACCATTAATCAGTGAGACTCTACAGTGAATTGAACAGGCTAAATGATTTACTAAGCTGGACATTATTGCAGCTTTTCACAAGATTCAAATCACAGAAGGTGATGAGTGAATGATAGTCTTTAGAATCAGATACAGACTATTTGAGTGGCTGATTACACCCTTTGATTTGGCCAATGCTTTGAGCATATTTCAAAAATATATCAACTGAGCATTATGTGGATATCTAGACAACTTCTGCTCAGCCTATTTAGATGACATCTTGATATTTTCCTCAAAAAGCTTACAGGAGCATTGTGAGCATGTACAAAAGATGCTTATATGTCTATGGGAAGCAGGCCTGCAGGCAGACATCAGAAAGAGTGAGTTCAAGATGAACAGCATAAAATATGTTGAATTTATCATTGAAGTGAGCAAGGGTATACAAATAGATTCAGAGAAGGTTAAAACTGTTTTGGAATGAGTGACACCTACTACTCTTAAAGATGTATGAGGATTTTTAGACTTTGCTAATTTCTATAGATAATTTATCAGAGATTTCTCAAAGATCATAATCTCACTGATGATTCTTACACACAAGAATATTTCTTTTTTATGAATGAGCAAGGCTGAGGAAGCTTTTAAGCATCTAAAATCAATGTTTATTTCCACTCTAATCCTGCTTCAATTCAACTCTGATTGTGAGACTATATTGAAAATAAACTTCTCAGATTATATCTCAGAAGAAGTGCTGCTACAATATGATGAGCAGAGCATTCTACACTCATGTGCCTTCTTTTCTTGCAAGCATTCACCTGCAGAATGCAACTACAAGATTCATGATAAGAAGTTATTAGTGATAATTAAGTGTTTAAAGAAATGAGACACTGAGCTATGAAGTGTAAAGGAATTCAAAATCCTCACAGATCATAAGAATCTAGAATACTTCATGACTACACACAGACTAAATGAAAGACAGCTACATTGAATGGATATTCTCTATTAATTCAACTTCAGAATTGATTATTAATTAGAGAAGTTGAATACTGAATCAGACACCCTATCACAAAGAGAGCAGAACATGCCACAGGGTGCTGATGATGAGAGAATCAAGCAGAGACAAGCTCAACTACTTAAGTTTAACATACTGACACCTGGAATGAAATCAATAGTGGCTACTATCAGTATGGAACCTAAGATATCTCTTCAAGCTCAGTGAAATGAGACTCACAAAAATGATAAGATTTTGCAGTGTCTGGAGCAAATTTTTTATGAGGAAAGATTCAGATTTTCTTTCAAACTCAGTATTAAGATCTCTGTCTCTGAGTGCTCTTTAAATGAGAACAGAGAGCTTCTCTTTCAAGATCATAAGTGAGTGCTAGACTTTGAACCTCTTTAAACCAGGTTAGTGCATGAGGCTCATGACTCACCTCTTATTGATCATCCTGGGTAAGAGCAAATGGCAAAAGTTCTAAGATGTGAGTTCTACTGATCAGGCTATGCCACTGATGTGAGAAGAATGATCAGGAACTGCCATCTTTGCAGATCAAACACCACATGGAGAGATTGACATCAGGGACTGCTTAAGCCTCTCCTCATTTCTGAATACATATGGCAGGAGCTTTTTATGAACTTTATCAT